ACCATACTAAAGTACTAGGGAATGCTAAAGATAATCATATAGCCTATTTTGCCATATTGGGTGGTCTAAAGTTTCTTCTTACTACTGACTACAGTCAAGAAAATTGATTAAAAAAACATATCTAAGAAGTGCGTTAAAGTGATGGCGGCATCATATTGGAAGAATCTATAGCGGATGTCATTTCCAATTTTAAGATATTTTCCGGACCTTCTCCAAGAGCATGGTGTTGAAACATACCTCCTTCTATACTGCTACCGTCGACGATCCGTCACGCTTCATCGATTTGAGGTCGGATACGGTAAGTTCTTCTTATTTCAAACGAAATAATCTAAAACATCTAACCCGATCTTCTATTCAGGTTACTTTACCTACTGAAGAAATGAGACTGGCTATGGCTAATGCTGTTCTCGGCGATGATGTGTATGGAGAGGATCAAACCATCAATAGTTTGGAAGACAGGTAGATGTTTGTAGTAATTTAACTCCAATAGCTTTTTCTTGAAAACGTACTCGCTGCTTATTATCTATTTTATTGTCTTCGAGAAGAGCGGAGTTACATATATGCATGTTTATCTCGTCAAAGGAAGGAAATTGTTGGAAACTATCTTCTATTTCCCATAAATTTACTCAATAATTTTTAGATGTGCGAATTTATTTGGGAAGGAAGCTGGTTTGTTTGTTGTGAGTGGGACAATGGGTAATCTGCTTGCTATCATGACACATTGTCAACGAGGAGATGAGATAATTGTTGGTAGATTTAATCACATCCATCGCTGGGAGCAAGGTGGCTATGCCCAGATTGCTGGTTGGTTGCATATCCGCTTAAGCTGCCAAGCACTGTTTCTGGTTTTTTGTATGTGAATGATTTTCAAGGAGTCAGTGCTACAACGTTACCAATGAATGAGGATGCCACGATGAAACTCGAAGATCTTGAAGAGGCAATTCGTGTTGATGATTGTCACATGCCGCGAACTAGTCTCATCTGCCTTGAAAATACCCACAACTATGCCGGCGGTCTCGCTCTACCATTGAATTATCTGAAGTATGCGGTTTTTAGCCTGGTTCTTTTTTTGGTTGAGTAATTTTTCCACTTAGGTCTGTGTATGAAATGGCTTCTAGCCGCAATGTTAGTGTACACATTGATGGTGCTCGCATCTTTAATGCAGCAGTTGCACTTGGAGTGAAGGTTTGCAGCTTGCTTTATTTTTTATGAAGAGTTTGACGCTAAGCACTTTGGAATTATTCCCTGATTCTTAGGTTTCGGAAATCGCCAAATATGGAGATTCCATCATGATGTGTTTTTCAAAAGGTCTTGGAGCTCCTGTCGGCTCCATGCTTCTTGGATCTAGAGAATTCATCGAAGGTGCGAGAAGAAGGCGTAAGGTGAGCTCACAATAAATCATATTCCTTCCGCACCACTTCCTAACCTTGATAGAATATTCGTTCAGTCTTTTTCGTAGGTACTCTAGTAAGTGTTATCAGCAGCATGTTAGTTGAGGTTCACGAGTGACTTGATAACGTTCCGAATACTGTTGTTTTGGATCCATGAAGTTACATGAGATTTGTAGCTTTGTCATTACACTTCTAATCTTGAAAAATATCAGTTGTCCTTCCTTTGGGACTGATATTTTTTCTAGATTAGCAAGCAAACCTAATAGGATTGGGACTTGATGCAAGTACGGGCGGAACACGGTGTTTTCAGTTTGTGAACACACCAATAAAAGCGATCGCATACAGTTGTATCGTTGGCTTCACACGATCTTCTAGGCGGAGTCGAAGTCATCGTGTCCAATTTTCATACTCCGCACGGCGTGCTGCTACACTACTATCACGTATTGTGGACCCGCCTAGCAGATTAGGGGAACGAGGATAAATTTAAAAGCCCAGCGCCAGACCTTGACCCTCATTAAGATGCGATATTCGTATGAAGTCTTGTGATTCACTATCAAAGATGGTTAAGAGGAAGCCTCTTGTGGTATACATGATTATAATAGCGTTGGTCTCTGCAAGAACTATCCTTTAACTTTGTGTTTTTGGTAAGTGATTGGAGGTATCCAAGCTTCTTGTTCACGATTTTACTGACCGCATCCATATCGTCGTACAGCTATCCAAACGGATTTGTTAGTGAACTTTTATCAATGATTTGTTTGTCATTATATGCAACTACTTCCAGGCGCTGGGTGGTGGATGGAGACAGGCAGGTGTTTTAGCGGCAGCTGCTCATATTGCGTTAGACAAAGCTGAAGAAACCATTGAAGAGGATCACGCTAATGCCCGTAAACTTGCTCGTGGATTCAATGAAATGACTCCTGAAAGTCTGAAAAATGTAGGTTGTGAGAGAAGCTATGCAGCAACATCAATTTGATAGCATTTTAAGGATCTTCAAGTGTCTGAAAATGGAATTACTAACATGATAATATTGAAATGCAGCAAGAAAATCCCACCTGCCGAAGTAAGTGCTCCTCCTTTTTCCGAAGATAAGTGTGATGTATAGTTTTACGTTTGTTTCAGGTTAAAAAATTCTTCCAATCTCATGGCGTGCTTGTTATGCTTTTTGATGACACGCGTGTTCGTATTGTGACTAACTGGGGCATCAAAGCAAATCACGTTGAGAAGGTGCTAAACGTTTACAAGGAACTTGTCGATTCTGTCTCTAAACGTTGAAATGTACTTTGATTCATGCTGATAGGCATTGTCAATTATCGTTCATTTATATTATCTATAAGATTCAATAAACTTGACATACAGTCTTCGATGCACTGTTTAGAGCTGAAGTATCTCAGTGGTTTGTCACCGTAGAATTTCTCCTCAACATCAAGAAACGTGATTTATAAGTTCTCTTATTACAGAATGTTTGATAGTTCCACTCGTTCCCCGCCAACGGTGCATTTCGTCAATATAAAGAACAATAGAGGGTTTGTCAACTGTTTTTATCCAAACCTCTTATTTTGTAAAACATGGCTGGTGGTAAACTCTTTTATGGCGACATCTATTGAAATTTTGTCGTAATTAAGGGATTGTTTGATTGATTTTTCAAATTCAAGTTTTTAGAAGCTTCCGTCACATTCAGATAGTGGTCGAAACCAAGTCAAATCATTAGAAACATTAGAAAAATTTTTGCGAATTAACGAATAACGAATATTCGTCCGTAAATATTCAAAAGACTGTTTTTGCATAACTTCTGCCAATTTAACTAATATTCGAATCGCCATTCAAAGTATATTCGAACCCGAATATTCGAACAGTGTGGGTCCTGAATTCTCGACTATTTGAATCACCGAATTGGGCATGACCGAGTATTCATAATTGAATAACAGAATAAGTGGGTTTTTTTCTAACGTTCGACTATTCAAATGTAATCGAATAATTCAATTCATTCAAGCATAAATACTCGATCATCATATTCGTTGATTTCGCAGATTTGAATGAACAAATTTCTGATGATTTCGTAGCAGTTCAAAACTATCGATTATTCTATTGTCCATGTTCTGAAATATTTGCCTACTCGACTAATCGAAGGCCTTTTCCTGAATAATCGAACAAAGGCGTTTTTTCGAATATCGAATATCACATATTCGACTTATTCAGATATTCGCATTTTTTATTCGAACACGAATATTCGGTCTCAACTATGCATTCTTTATTACTGCTGTGAGTTGAGTACTGAAGAAATTACAATATTGTATGCTGAGACACTTTCGCAGTTTTATGTTAGATTGCCACATAGGAGAACTCCTCTACCTTACTTCTCAAAAAAAACTGAGGTGATGAGTTTAAGATATATCTTTTTTTATCTTTTTTTTGGGAGATTTTTTTTTTCGAAAACAGGTGTTTGA